AGGGGGCGCAGCGCCCTCCGGCTTTGGAGGCCCTGGTCATCCATGCCTGCCATAGCTGCGAAGTGTCTACGAGCTTTGATGTACACTTATTGAGTTTTGCAGCGGTGTTGTGTGTGAAATTCAACAGATGTTTTAGTTGAGGTGCGTGTGTCCAGTGCCTCCGTTCGCCTTGTATATGCTTATGTGTTTATGTGTGTTACGTGCGAGCAATATGAGTGCGGTGCATTTGTTCGATTTTTTGTTGTTCAGTGCAATTGTTTATTGCTGTTTTCTTTTTTTGCGAGCAGCTTGTTCGTGCTGTGTGTGCTCAGTGCAAATGTTTGATTCGTGTGTTTTTTGTTTTTTTTTTTGTTTGGGGATTTCTCCTTTTCTCTTTTTTTGGGGTTTTCCAGGACTCTTTGGAGGGGACAGATGCTGGCTTGGGGGCGCCCCGGGGAGGAGAGTGGATAGGGGAGCGGGGGAGGATAGGGGAGGGGCTGGAGGGTCAAGAGCACTATACTGTCGTTCGCCGTGTCCTTTCTGTGCTTCACTCCACAGTCGCCGCGTGTACTCCTGTCGCCGTGATCACCCGCGGTGCCGCTCTCCTACCTCTGTAGTTGCCCAGGGTGTTATCCTCAAATCCAGCCCCCCTCTGTTTCCAATACCGGCCTTCGGTCGTCTCTTCCCTGTGCGTTTTGCCCTTCCCTTCCCGCCTAGTCGCGCTTCACGTGAGTCTTCCTTCCTCCCTTCGCTGTCCCCTGCCCGGCTGGTTTCAAAGCTGCTTGGCGATGTGGCCCACTGCCAGTTTGCGCGCTCCCTCCGTGATCCACTCGGCGTCTTCCTCGTGTCCTTCTCTGCGTAGTCGCAGTTTGCGTTGACCCTCCTTCCTTGGCTCTCTGTCTCTCTCCTGGCTGTTTCTTAGCTGCTGGGCGATGTCGCTCACTTCCGGTTTGCGTGTTCTCTCCGTGATCAACCTGCTGTAATCCTCGCGCACTTTCGTCCCACCGCAGGCTCTCCCCACTGCGTCTCCGACGAAGCTGGCACAAGAAGCTACGTGTCAAAAACGTGGCGGCCGCGGAGCTCCACGTGGAACCCCCGCCAGGGGGGTCGGGCCACAGCCCGTGTCAACTCGTGACTCGGTACGGCCCAGCGCCGAAGTTGACCGTGCGTGCGCTAAGCGATCCTCCTTGTGGAAATCGCTCTTTCATTTTTTCGTCCGACGAAACAATCTATCATCATCAGTTTTTATTTTTATTTTTTTCGGTCTTTGTTTCTTGCCTTGTGTTGTTTGTTTGCCCACACTCCTCCCCTCTACCCTCCAGCCTGTCCTTTGCTGTTTTCTATTCTTCTGGCCGCTTTAATGTTTTTCGATACTTGTACTTATGCCCTCCCGCCTCCCCCTATGTTTCAGCCTATGTGCTGCCTCACTGCTTGTTCCTCCTCTCATGCCTCTAAGTTCATGTGCCTCCCCCATGCGTTTCACCCTATGTGCTGCCTCGCTGTTTGTTCCTCCTCTCGTGCCTCTTAAGTTCATGTGTCGTGTTGTGGTTTGTCATGCTATGTGTTGGTTCCCTGCCCTTTGCCTTGCTGTCCTTTGCCTTGTTGTCCTTTGCCTTCCCCCCTTCCCTCCGTTTGTTTGTGGGGTGTTATTGCGTGTGTTCTGGTCTGTCTGAAAAAGAGGAGGCGCCACCCACCCCCCTCATTTTGTCTTACTGCCTTCGCATATTTGGCTGCTTTCGACTTTACGGCCGTTTAAATAAGTACCCTCACCAAAAATGGACACGCGAGTGGTTTTAACCCGCCACGTTGAAAGATCGCCTCCCGCGTCTTGCTTTTTTGCTCATAGTGTGCCGACGCTTTTGGTCGGAGTAGCACGAGTATGACGTGTCGTGCTCGTGCGAAACTCATGTGACACACACATGCTACACACACACACAAAAAAAAAGAAAAAAAAAAAGAAAAAAAAAAAAGAAATGCAGAGTCATTAGTTGAAAGCACGTCACTCATGTATACCATCAGAAGTCAGTTTGTCTACTTGTATGCAACTACTCAAGGTTGTCATGAGTGTACATGAGTGTACATGAGTATACATGAGGATGTAGTACACGAGTACACAGCCCCAGCCTTGCAGAAAGTTTTTGTCGCCACAAACAAAACTCGGAGGCGCTGCACGGCCATGGGTGCCGTTGAAAAAAACTATCAGCGCCCTCCGAAGTGGTGCGGGTTTCATGCTGACACCCACAGGCCCATGCTTGGTGTACTGGTACTTCAAAACCAACACTGGCACTACGCGCCCCGGGCAAATAGAGCACCTGGGTTCTGAAATTGTCCGGGATTCGAGCCAACTCAGTCTGGACCATGCTGCCTGGTGGTCCCAAAAAGAAGAACAAGAGCACCTGTGCTGGTCCCTTTTTTTTTTTTTTTTTTTTTTTTTTTTCATGAATAGCCCGTGTAAAACCCTCGCACGCCTCGAAAGGTTCATATAAACCAGCCTTGGACATGGTGCTGGTTCAAAAACACTAAAGTGAAAGAAACACCAGATCGAGAGGAACACTTTCACCCCCTAGCTGTGGACCTGTGGTGCTGCAATGAGGCAGGTCGTACAGGGCAACATCCCGATACCAAGGCAGGGGGCAGCACTCACCAACTTTCTTTCTTTCTTTCTTTCTTTCTTTCTTTTGCTCAGGAACTTTGGAGGCTGTTTGTCTACCATTGAACCACCAGGGCCGTGGTCCCATTAGCAAAGGGCATCGGATTGAATGCCTGAATCTGGACGTGTTTGAGGACAGGAGAAGGAAATCGAGATATAACTGTTTTTCTGTATCTCTGCATAAAACATAGCCAGATTCAGGATTTCTATCCTATCCCCTTCGCAAGTGGGACCGCGGCCCAGTACTTCCGAGGCACTTTTCTTTGGGGCTGCGTGCTAAACAAAAAAAAGCGTGGCAGCACTTTTCTTTGGGGCATGATGGGCCTCTTTTTTGCTTTTCTTTTGGAGCAAAAGTGCCGCCAGAGCCAGCAAAAAAGAGGCCCTCAGCACTTTTCTTTGGGGCTGGAAACGCGCTGCGTGCATGACGGGCCTCTTTTCGGCTGGCTGCGGCGGCAGTTTTGCTCCGGCGGCTGAGGACCAAAAGCTGTGGCGGCATGCAAGGCGCGACTTCAACGAAGTCGCTGGGCAATGTCCTGGTGGTTTAATTTTTTTGCCATTTAACTGCCAGCGCACCAGAAGAGAAGAAGTACTGCTCTTCCCTTTTTTCAATTTTTTGTTTCGATTTTAATGCGGTAAGAGCATTTCTCCTCGGGCCTGGGGCAGAAGCGAAAGCCGCAGGCCACTTTGAACAGGCGCAGTTGCAGGCTCACGAGCCTTGGAAGGTAGCTTCCTCTTTTCTTTTTTTTTTTTTAGACTCTCCCGAACTGGTGTTTTTTAAAAATGTTATATGAACTTATACCTGTATACAAGTAGGGGCCCACCAGTCCCAATTCTTGCAATCTACAGTTTGTAAACGGGGCTAAGATAGATTTCCCCTTTTCCATGGGACCCTGCTACGGACTTCGCAGATAGCTGCAATGTTGAGATGTCTTGGTTTGGAGCCAGATAAGGGATGATGGCACAGGATGACAGAATCTTTCTTTTCTTTTTCTTTCCTTTTTTTTTTTCTTTTTTTTTTTCTATATTCCTCTCTCAACTTCTGTTCGCTTACCTTCCACTACCTACTCCTAAGACTATCTAGAGGGGACCCCTGCAAGCATAGTTTTTCCTCTCTCTGTGAAGGGGAGATTTCATGTTGCCCCTTGCCCCTAATGGTTAGGGTATAGGGTTGGGGCCGCCAGTGGGGGTCTGGCTAACACAAAG